TCGTAGGGTTTCTATTTCCCCTACCATCATGGAAGAAGAGGAAGATATTATAGCATCATCTGCTAATACCAATAACCTTGCACTTGTTGTTCCTAATTATGGTTCAGACATATCTTCAACTGTTAATCAAAGACTCCCTCAAAATTCTACAGTTAATCATATGAGGTTCGTATTATCGTTTATTTATTAAACCAGTATTAGAAACTATTCTCAATTTTTATATGATTACGTATATTATAGGCCAGTGATCCAGCAATACTTGAATTCTACTAATCCAGCTGCGATGGGTGAGAAAACAGTCATGGTATTGACTTCAAAAGTTGCACAAAAATCTTACGGTACTGAAAAAAGATTCCTGTGCCCTCCACCTACAACATTGATTTTGGGATCAAACTGGTGGTCCCCACACAATATTGGTCATTCACAATCATCCACGACATATAGTCCACCGAAGATCTCTGTGGGCATTTCTGGAGAACAAGGACACCAACAAGGAATTCTTGAGTGTATTAGTTCATCTGGCAATCCTCTTGATCCTAATGCGTGTACTGAAATGGCATTTAGCGGCAAATGTGTTTCTAAACACTTATATATTAATGATGCTGATGAAAAACGAAAAAGAGTTGAAGTTCTGGTGAATATTCAGAGTCCTATGGGTCATGATTTTGGGACTTTTGCGAGTAAACCGATTAAGGTAATTAGCAAACCAAGCAAAAAGAGGCAAAGTGTAAAGAACATGGAATGTAAGTGTTGATATATTATGTTAATAAAGGTTCCATTTTATTTTTATATTAGTAATTTAATAATAATTACTGTTTTTAAATTCTGTTTTAGTGTGCATCCATCACGGAACCACAATTTCATTATTCAATCGTATTCGTTCCCAAACAGTATCCACCAAGTATCTTGGAGTTTCAATGCAAAATACCAATCAGACGTTTGGCCCCTGGAATTATAGTAATGGTCACATGCAATCGAGCCAAAACGAACAACCCCACCCTTGCTTTGTTGCTCGTACTGGAAGCTGGGATCCTTTCATAATTTGGATTGTTGATCCTCGTTATGTCAAGGGTAAAGATGATCATCCCCCCCAGCAACCTACAAACCCAAATTTCCCTCGCCCACCACCTGCTGCCATAAAATCAAATAATGGGAATCCTATACCAATTCATTATAACCAACCTATAGTCTTACAATGTTTGACAACTGGAATGACAAGTCCAACTATGATTATTCGTAAAGTTGATAAAGGTAGTATGGTTATCGGCGGTGGTATTCTTGATTCTAATAGAC